CATGTCGTCGGTACCGATAATTAGGAATCGTTTACATACACGCTTAAGTCTCGGCCGCGGTGGACGGGGGCCGCGTATTGTGAAGAACCGGAGCATAGAAAACGAGAAGGTTCTGCATAATAGCCGACCATTGTTATCCTCGTCGTTACTGCTACCGTGCACCGCCACCCGTCTCTCGTACACTTCGCGGTCGCCTCCTATTACACCGGAACCACCGCTCCAGATTCTTGGCTCGCTGCTGCTTGCGGCCTCGTTGACTCATCGATCGAATTTAATAACCCGCGATCAGCCAACGTCGAGAATTAATTAGGCTACTTTTCGGGGTTGAGAGGGTTAACGTTCGGCTGCGCGCGAGGGGTTTCACTTCCGATCTCAGTGAGCTGTTGTCGAAGTTGGGACCTTCATTGCAGAGATACGAGATCGAAATTAAGATTGTAAATTGGCGGCGGATTTTTGTAAGGTCCGTTTTAATTTCGTGTACGTGCAATTGGAGGAATGGAAATACGATATATTATAAAAGTAAGTACATATGATGTCTCTGTAATATGTAGATTTTATTTTAATATACTTTAATATTTTGTTCGTATTTTATAACAATTTGAACGTTTATCAACATAAATAATAAACTGTAGTAATTTCATTATATTATTTTAAAGTTACTTTCAAAGTCAGCCGAAAGTCAGGATTCAAGTATATCTAAATGTATTTTTATTTTTCACCCGCAAGACATAATAGAAAAAGATACGCGTTTCCTAGAAGAAATGATAAAGAAAATTTGTTTTTCAGGATATTCTGTGCTATGAACATATTTCATGTCATAAAAAATAAGAAAAAGATATTTAGATGGCCTTTAGCCGAGATATCGTGTAAATTTTCTGACTTCTCATGAATGGATAAAAATATGAATTAGAGTCAATTGATTGAATTTTATATTAAATTTATCCAAAGAAAACGCAGTCTGACATAAAATTTGACATATTTAAATATCAGCACAATTTTTATTATGACGGTTACGATTAAATATCTTTTCAGAAAGAACTAAAAAAACTTTCAGGCATCTAACTTAATCCTAGAATGTGAAATTACATCAGACATCGCGAAGCTTTCGATTTTATCAAATTCAGAAATATGATTTCATGCATTTTTCTGCGTCTTTTAAATGCGTTGATATAAAATTTGATGACAACAATATCAACGCAGTGTAAAAAATTTAGTTGCAGATTTTTTTGAATGATTGAAAGTAATCGTTAATTATTATTCACATCAGACGGAAACGTGTTCGAGTTATTTTTGGAGAACATTGTCATATTTCATTTACTTGACATAACACGTGCCTTGGCCAACAGCGATGATAAAATAATACAAAAAATCTCTTATAGTTTCACGAATTTTATTTTTCTCCATTTCCCGCAATTTTACTTCTCTACAAATATCTCAATTAAAGTAGAAATAGAATTGTCCTCGGTTAATCAAATTACCAAAGACTTTTATTATATCGTTATTTTTCTGTCGCCGCGCGAATCCATGAAGCTGCTGTTAAAAATGAATTGTTTTACGAAAATAAATTGCATTTTCCGTTTTAAATATGGCCTTAGTCCAATGTAGCTTGAATAATTTCAATATACCTTTAATTGATTTTTATACTCAATCGTTTAGTATTGTTAACGATGTTATATAAATTTGCAACTTTGAGCGCGGGATAAAAAATAATTACGTTTCACGTAGTTCTAGTGTTTTAACTATAGAAAGGTTAAATTTTTCAACAGTATGAAATTGCAGGTATAATTTATAAATTTTATAAATTCTCAAAAGAAAAAGAAAAAAAGAAAAAAAAAAGAAAATAAAGACGTGGAAAAGTTTGACACATGCGTAAGACTAAATCAAAAATTCGGTTTTCAACGTCAGAGGAGATAAATAAATAACACTCGAACAAACAAGCTGGCTAATATTTTCCCACTAGTGTCGTATAACTATGCTCGTATAAAAGTAAAGCTCGTATTCTCATATAACGAAGTGTAGCTTTTCAAATAGATATTGGTTTCTCTCTGTCGATGTATAACACAAATTTGTTTGCTCGTGCCTCGTTCACCGTCGAAATATAACATTTTGTAGTTTGCTGCGAGCATGGAAATTTATACAGGCATTTTTGTAAAATCCAGAGGATGATTCAACATAACAACTAAAAATGATTAATAATCTAATTGGTCGCTGGTCATGACTAGAACGAAAATTTAAATTTTCGTGTATTTCATTAAAAAAATAGAATCTAAATGGAGATCTCATTCTTCAAATATTACAACGAACATAACTGTACTTTTTGTATCTTGAAATTTCTAATAATTGCATAAAAATCGACAGTCTGGTCGTAATTAAATAGTCAAAAGTTTTTGATTGGTTAGTCACGAATTATGATTACTTAATGAATTATTAACTATAACTACTTATTTTAAATGATTAAATGTAGTAGTCAAACAGAGACGATTTACCTTTGCGAAATTTGCACGAAAATTTTACGTGACACCTGAAATATAGTCATTGATTCGTCAATTTGTAGTCAGTCACGTAAGTTTATGTACATCCGTGAAATATTTTAAATATTACAGGAAACAAAGAGTCTTGAATTATAATTAATTCGTTAATTAAATGTTTATAATAAAATAATATATAATTTATATAAAATACAATATAATAATAACAAAATACAGTGAAACGAATAGAAATTAATTTCTGATTGTAACACAATGGAAATTTTAAAATATAAATTTATTTATTTATATATATATATATATAATTTTAAATTAATATAATATAATTAAAGTTTTATGATAAAAATATATTTAAGTAATAATTAAAAAATTAATAATATTATTAATAGTTTAAAGTAATGAAAATGAATTTTTAAAAATAAATAAGTAAAATTTATTCTGTACCTTTTGTATCCGGGTTAATTAATTTATTTTAATAATTTTAATTATCTCGAAAGTAAATAATCTAAATATATATATATATATATATATATATATATATATATATATTCAGTTATAATATATATATATATATATTCAGTTATAAAGGAAATGAAACGTTTCGAGAAATTTTTCGAAATTTCATGCGGGCGACTGAAAAAAAAAAAAAAAAAAATAGAAACCATAGAAAAGAACGACGAATCGGGAGAAAGGGATCATATTGCGTGAAAGAATGTAAACGAGAAAATACAGAGACTTCTTTCCTAAAGATGGAGAATAAAGTGTATCGTGGAGTTTTTGAAATTCGCTACTCGAACGAGTTGAGAGAGAATGGAAATCATGGAGGAACACGACGAGAATCAGAGCAAAGGGACCGTGTCGCGTGTAGAAATGAAAAGGAAGGAAAAGAGAGCTTTCCTTTCCAAGGATGGAAAATAGATTCTCGAAATTTCAAGGAAAATATCGTCACACATGGAAGAGGAACGATCAGGGGTGAAACCATACGCAGAAACGAGTCACGGCTGAGAGAGATCGCGTCGTATCGTTTCGTGGAATTCTTCAAAATTCCGCGAACGACCGGAGGAAGAACTGGAAACGTACGAGGAAACCATAGAGACAAAGCAAAGAGACACAGTGTCACGCGTAGGAAAGAAGAAGACAGAGAGAACGAGACGAGGAGAAAGCGTTTCGAGGAATTTCCTCGATTTCCAAGAAAGACACGCGCGCAAGTCAGAGTGTAACAGAAAAATGATCAGGGGGTAGAAACCATAGAAAAAGAGGGGGGGGGTAGAAAAGGGAAGAACAGGCAACGAGGCGTTCCGAGGGATTGTCAAAATTCGCAGAAAGACGCCGCGGACGTAGAAAATGAAGCAAAAGGAACAGTCGCGACTGTGGCGGTGAAGCCGTATAGAAAGGGGAACGGGACGAGTACGGAACAAAGAGAACCACGTAAGGAGAAAGAGGTGAACGACGACAGAAACAGGAAACAGAGACGGAGGGGTGGGAGTGGGGGAGCGGCTGCCGCCTCTTCCCGCGGGCGCAATCGTTGCTCTTATCCGCGCGGCTTCGAAGCTTAAAATTTCACTAAAGCTGAAATCCCGCAACGATCGTAGACGCTCGGTGGAGACTTAAGAGCGGCTTAACTCGATGGCTTCGACGAGGTAAGACGACCACCGTCGTCACCACCGCCGCTACACCACGCGAAGGTAACGCCAGACCCTTCGAGTAATAGTCGAAAAGTGGGGGGGGGGGGTGAGAGGGGTAGGGTCGCGTTACTGGCCCAGTTATTTCAAAGGAACGGAAATAATGAAACGACATCGGGCGGTGCCGGCAGCGCTGCGCAAACACCGATATCGAGGGATTTAAGGACTTTACCGCGAGGGAGAGACGACGTTCGCGTCGACATTTAGAGAGAGGTAAGGCCTTCTGGTAAGATCACTTTGTCGAGCACGGCTGGGAAAGCAAGGGGGTAGCGAGCGACTACGTTCTCCCATCTCTGGATTAAGGTCGATGAATGAAACGATTCTCTTGGGAGTTCTTTCTTTTTCCTTTTTTTTATGTAATCGTTGGAGGTACGTAGGAGGTGGATCGTGAAAGAAAGACGCATGATAAAAAGGGGAGGAGAGATTTCTTGTTTTCTCTGGTATCTGGAGATTTGTCGGACGATGGTTAAGATCGGGGGATTTGAATGAATTTTCGAAGAAATTTCATATTATCTGAAGCGATTGGGGTTCGAAGGCATTCGAAATTTTGAGTTGCAAGAAGTAGTGTTTTTTTTTTTCTTTTTTTCTGTTTTATGTAATCGTTGGAGGCACGCAAGAGATGGATCCCGAAGGAAAAAAATCATAATAAAAAGGAAAGAGATTCTTGTTTCCTTGGGTATCTGGAAATTTGGAAGAAGATTGGGAAATCTGAATGAATTTCGAGGATATCTGAAGCATTTAGGATCGAAATTGGGATGGAAGATGGTTCAAAACTATTCAAAATTTTGAACTGCACGCAAGAAATAATATTAACAATTCAATTTATACATACGTAACATGTACACGATATATCCTAGCATGAAATATCATTGTTTCGATTCAAACTGCCTCCGATGATGAGTTGTTTCAAAAGTATCTCCATCGAATCTGAAAATTAGACGAAGAAAAAATTTTGTTAACATTGGCAAATCCCTGATCACAAATAGGCAAGAATTTTGGAAAAAGCAAATTTTGCATTCTTTTACATTTATCCGTACTTTGATATCCGAAGATTCTTCCGTGTATTTATGTCATCTTATCTGCGAATTCAACTGGTCTATGCTCTTTAGGGAGTCAAAGAATCGACTCACAAAGAGATCCTTCGTGATCGTATTAGCTTTCGACGTGGTCTTTATGAATTTAAATTTATAAAATTGAACGAATTACAACTGCAACTCGAAGAGCGAAGACAGTCACAAAAGGAATCTTTACTGACGCGGTCTTCGATTCCTTCAAGTTACGTTTTCTTGTAGCATTTAAAATTTACATAAATATTCGCATTTACATAAATATCCGTTAATTGCCAAAATTCATCGTAAATTGTCTTGGGAGGAATTTGGAGGATTGTTGGATCGTCAATTACGGCCAAGGGGACAGTAATGACATTAATAATGAGAACCAGAGCTGATCAGGAGGCGAAATATCACCGAAACTCTCGAGGGACTGGGGCGGAAGCTTCGTTAAAAGCTACCGAAGCCAAACGCGGTCGTGGTATTCCTGGCATCCGTTTCTCTTTGGAGGACAAACGAACCTTCCGGTAACTGCGACTGCAACCTAATGTCGCATGATAATGCGTGTATTGGTTACCGTATGTTGCGAGAAAGCAAGTGCAGCCAGATCGACTTTCTAACAGCAAACACCGATGGTCGAATAAGACCATCTAGAATTTCCAACTTCGCGAACTCTGCTCTCGAGGAATCGATGTACCGTGATGGGGTAATATGCTCGTAAACTTCCCTTACTTTCGATACACATGTCGATATTCTTCTAAGCCTAATTGCTTGTTATATGTACACACGTTACGTACAGTAGATATACTTGTTTGTTAAGCGTACAAGCATAAGAATGGCTGATGCAAGTATTGTTAATAGTTCGAAGTTTTGATACTGTCGTTTGACACTAATTACCTTGGGATAATTTTTATTTTTTAATGCTCAGTATTTATTGTAGATAATATACGATTCTTCTATTGCACGTATACTTTATTTATTTATATTAACATTTATATCAATTTTATTATATATAATATATACATACATTGTATTATTTTTATTAACATTTATATTAATTTATATTATTATATAAAATACATACATTATATTATTTTTATTAATATTTATATTAATTTATATTATACATAATAATATAATAGTTAATAATTGATGTTTAATATTAATAAAGTAAATAATATAGTGTACGTATAAAATATATTAATATATAATATTATTATAATTATAATTAATTATAGATAATATAATAGTTGATGTAACAACATATTAATTGCAGTTGTGTTATTTGTAGATTCTCTGTCGTATAAAAAATTTCATTCCTTCAATTTCGAAACAAATTTTTCTAAGACTTTCAAGTGAAAGTTGTACCTGTTGTATAATATATCTCGGTATTCCATTAGCACTGTATCGAGTACATTTTACGTTTCATTCGGTGCAAAAATTTTTTGTTACCTTGTTTAATAATAATTTTAGAAGAATTCTCTTTACGTTCTTCGATCATTTATTGTGCCAGCGCGACAAAACGTAATCGTATAGAACCGTTATTTCACTATTCACGAAATAATGTGATTTTATTCCACTTCCCAATGCTTCGGTTGATCTGATTTGAATCGTACTATAAATCCTACGGCCTCCAATAAAACAAATCTTATTTTATTTTATTTTACGAGTTTCCTCTATTTACGAGGATCCAACAATATTGGAAACGTGAGTTTCAATAACCTTCGTCAACGAAGATATGGCTTATTCGTTCATTTTTCTCCGGAAAATCTTTGAAATCCTCAACAATTTAATAAAAATTTACGATCGCAATAACATTCGAAATTAATAAAATAAAATTTACGAAAATTTTCAGTAAAATTCGACGAAAGCAATTGGCGATGAGTTCTAATTTAATTAGAATGTGCTTTTAAATTATTCCCAAATTTCCACGCTCCACTTGATATAATTTAAGAATCTTCAAAAACTGATAACCTTACGAAAAGAAGTCTAGAATATTTCCTTCAAAATTTAATATAAAAAATCTTTTAATATAATTGCATTAAATGTCAAGAACATAAACGTCTGAAAAGAGAAGAGGAGTGTGGCAAAAGTTGAAGATCACCGAGTCTCACAATTTTCGTAACGAGCCGTAAAAAGACATTTGCCCAAAGTCACAAAAGATTCTGAAGCACAAAAATCTCGCGAAGAGTTTTCAAGACCTTTTAAATCTCGGCCACTCTCGACTCTTTCAGAGCGCCCCGTCTCGATTCCGCAACAAAAAAAGAAAAAGGAAAAAGAAAAAAAAAAAAAGAAGAAGAAGAGAAGAAAGAGCAGTTGATCCTTCGTTCTTTCCCTCGTGGATTCTCTCGCAGAGCAAGGAGGTGTCACGAGTGAAAACAAGGCGCGGAAAGTCGAACGCGCAAAGACAAAGGGCTGGCCTTCTTACCAGAAAGCCTCTTTTATTTCAGGCAACAGCGTTGCAGGCGTTAAACAGCCCGCTCGAGTTCCTTCGAGTTGGAAAATATACTTGCATCTGGCTACGCTCGCCTCATATAAATCACCATCGACTCTCTTCTCGGCTGATGCTCGGCCCTCTGAAAGCTCCATTGTTGCCGGTCTCCTCTAGTAACAAGGAAATTATTTACGACGCTCGTCGCGTACACAAGGTGAGCACCCAATGCCAACAAATCGTCTGGAACCACGTACGGTACCCATGGAAAATTGGATTTTTAATTGTTTCACAGTTAAAACAATTAATACTGGCGATTAAAATTTATAATTTTCAATTATTTTATATGACTAGCTACACTAGAAATAATTTTCAGCCATTTTGCAGGTGAAATATAATTTTTCAATTTCAACGCCAAATAAAAAAATTCGTGGTAACAGTTTAGTCTTTTCTATTTTTCAATTTGGACTATTTCTTATTTTGAGTTCAACTGTTCCTTTAAATTCTCCATTGGTAACTTACCAATTGGTAGGTATTTCTTCTTAAAGATCATTATAATCAATATAATGACATTTCCAATTTGGATTGTTTAACTTGAGTCTTTCTTTTTTTAAGTTTCCATTAGTAATTTGCTAATTGATATATTGATAATTATAATGACATTTTCAATTTTGACTTCAATTTTTTGAAGAATTTTCCATTAGTAATTTACCGATTGGTGGATAATATTTTTTCTTAAAATTTTATATTGGCATAGGTCAGTCTAATGACACTTTCAATTTAGACTATTTGACTTCAACATTTTGAAAAATTTTCCACTAGTAATTTAGTGATTTTGTAACTAATATTTATAAAATTATTGGTAGGTAATATTTATAAAATTGTAAAATTTATATAGGTATATTGACAATTAGTCAGTCCAATGGCATTCTTAATTTTTTTTCTTCCTTTCTTCCCAAAAGATTCAATTTTTTTCTTTTCTAAAATTTCCTTTCTTTCGTTTCTAAAAGCTTGCTCAATTGGCTCTCTTCTCTTTCAATTTTTCCCTTAGAACAAGAGAAATTTGTCGACAAAATTAATGTAGATGCTCAACAGAGACTTGATTGAACTCTCTATTTAACGTTTATATCATATTATATATTTATAATATAAATATTATATAATAATTATGACATAATAAAATATTAAAATATCATAATATATTATCATAATATATTATTATAATATAATATTACATATTTAAAGTTTATGATATAAAGTAAATACCCACTTCTCTCCTAACTCATTTCATTGCACTATTATAACCATAATCTAATTCTCAAATTCTCCAAAGATCGACAATTTTAGACCAAGCTGAAACTCACTAGCCAACGATCTGCTCGCACCCTAACTCTTAGCATAGCGTTGCCATTATTTTCTGGCGAACACTACAACCCCGTGTATCCATACCATTATATTCGTCGTTACAATGACGTTTGGATATTCCTCCTCTGCTATCTTTCAAACGAAGCGCCATTATTCCCACCGGTTCCTTTTCGTTGTCGACAAGGAGTGGATCCTCGCTGGCCAGGCTCGCTTTTCACGTTTTCGACGGTGTTCCGGCTTCTTTCATCCCTGTCCGCGGCCGTGAAACGTGCCTATGGAAAACTTATCGGGCAGAAGTCGACGGCGAGAACAGCAGCAGTCTCTCTCTCTCTCTCTCTCTCTCGTTGCTCTTTCTCGATTTGGTTCAGCCACTCGTCTCTCTCTCTCTTGCCCGATGGCCGTCTATCTTCGCTTAGAATAGGAACAATCGATTTTATGCAACGCGCCGTGTCACGTCGCGTTATGTCGAGAAAGTCTTGGGAATTTTGGCTTCTTACTTGCCTTGAAAAGGCTGTGAAAGAGAGAGAGAGAGAGAGAGAGAGAGAGAGATGTTTTATTGGAGAATAGTCCATGACGCGTGTTAGAGAAGAGATTTGAGATTTCTTTTTTCTGGAGACTTTGCGCTTTATTATCGACGATTGTTGTACGTGAGTAGCGGATTTTAGAATTGTAGACAATTCTAAATTTTACAATTTTACAATTTCAGAAATTTACAATTTTAGAATTGTAGAAATTTAGGTTGGTGGAAATTTGTTCTCGCTACCAAAATATTGTAGAAATTAGATGTTCTCACTACCGAATATATTTTAATTTCGGTATTTTACATATATATATTTTTTTTTTATAATATTTGTATTCTCTGCGTTTCTGCGTCTTCAAATTTTCTACGAATACATAAAATTCTGCAGTCTATATATCAACTATACAAAATTCTATAAATGAAGAAGCATAGAAACGTGATGATGTTTTAAACACGAGTTTTTAACACCAGAACTACCAAAATAGAGTAGCAGACTTACAATCATTAAAATTTGCAATTTCCCGTTTTTAGAGATTTTAAATGATATACGAACAAAAATTTT